TACATACATGCTTGCGCTTCTTGTTTCCAGGAAGAGGATTTAGAAGAGAGAGTAAAAGAAAAAAGTTCCCCATAGGCAAGGCTTTCAGGCTGGAGATTAGGGTTTTCAGTCTGAGCCAGATTAGGAACAAGCATCCTCTCCACAATGCAAAAACAGCAGTAGTTTCTTCAAATGCTCATCTTAGCATTGCTATTGAATGATACTGAGTATTTTCCAAATTCCATAGTAGGTACAAGTGAGGATAATAGTAAAACGTTGCCTCTTAGAGGCTTTGAGAACAACACATAATTCATAATAGAAAAGATAAAGTTCCTGAAAGCCCAAATCAGAGAGCAGAGGAACAGCATTGTTAGAAAGGGCTAAAGCATTGCTTTCTTTGGGTGGTTTTATGCCTGTCATGAATACTGTTAAAACAGCTAATCCCCTAAGCTTCTTTGTATTTTGTACCTCTTCCGAGAAAGTTTTGTAATCCAGGAAAACGTCTGCAGGTGAAGATTTGGAGTCAATAGAGGTTCAGTGAATTGAATTTGCCAGTTACATGTGATTGAGCAGCTAAGAAATGTTGCAGCATTTGCATGCAACTTATAAAGTAATATTGCAATAAAACATTCTCACTGTATGGAAATTTCCACCTCACTTCAGGGGTAAGCTCAATTGGATGAGGGCCAGATGGATTTGTTTATGGTAGTGGTGACATAATAGGAGGAAATGAACGGAGCACCTTCTTGGGGTGAGTTTAAGCAGTCACATGGAGTCTAGTTTTGGAACTAGAGGCAGGAAAGCAGGATACTTCTTTAGAAGTCAGTGACAAATTAAAACGGCTGCTTCATTTATAGAAGAAAGGAAAGCCAAGAGATAGACAGTGGCTGGAAGATAAAAGTGACTCACAGCCCTCAGTTTTTATCAGGAGAGGGCAAATGCCCAAAGTTCGGGGTATTTCTTTTTTTCATAACTTAGTCACGGTGTATTTTGAGGGCCATGTTTCTCCTTGGCTCTAATGTGGACAGTGTGCTTAATAGATGTGTGAGGAAAAAGGAAGCCTTTTCTGTAGATCATTGAAATTTTCTTTATCAGAAGCTCATGGCTCTTGCTATCTGACTTGGTCCTTATACCTTTCCGTTACGTGGTTACTGGAAAACCCTATGTGCATATTGGCACTTGGAATATTTGTTCTCAGTTGGAAACATTTAGCTATCCTCATTCATCAGATATCCTAGCACCTTGGTAATGGAATTTCAGTAAAAACAGGGAAATTTCTTTTGTATTTACAGGCTTCATTTTCACCCTTGACTTAACTTCATGTTCACCCTTGGAAGCAGAAATTGAAATACAGCATTACCAAATCTATTGGAGACTTTAGCCAGGCCATTTCTGTTGCCCAAAAGATGGCTTCTCAACCTGTATTTGTTATGGAAAGTGGATTCTTATAATTTTAGTTGGCTTCTTTAGATCCATGGACTAAAAAGGCAGAATGATAGTTTTAAGAAACCGATTTTTCGCAGGACCCCAAGTTGGTGAACTGCAGTTTGGCTACTTTCCTTGAAGAGGTTCTCAGTTTAAGTCCTTTAATTCTTTGTGCTTTTCAAAAGATACTGACTTCCAAGTTTGTGTTTCTAGTGCTAAAATTCTATGATCACAGTTTAAGGAAATATCAATCCCTCAAAATGGAGGGGGGTTAGTGGATTTGAGAAGTAGGTTTTTATGAAGAGGAATAAGCAAATTTAATCTATATTCAGTATGCTGACAATCATGAAAATATATCAAATGTGCCTGTTATAAATGCATATTTTATTTGAATCCCAAGCAGTTCTTACTCAGAATAGGATACAAAGTGTTCACACATGAAAAACACATAGCCTTGTTGATGCAAGTGACACCAGGGAGGGTATAATGTTCCAAGAAAGGAGTGATCTGCACAGGCAAGTAAGTTCAGAAGCATAACATTTTACCCATACACCATAGTAATTTTGCCTTATGACCTATCTGGTGGCTGATAATTATTTTCTTCCAAGGCCTCCTTGTCATTTGATCAAACTTGGTAGGTTCCCTTTAATTTCTTATAATTTCCACCTCACTTATGCCTTATAGTAAGTGTTTTTTGAAAATGTGGCTGAAGCACATGATAGAAGCAGCATTCACAATATCTCGAAGTTCCTGTTACTATCCTTCTCTTCCCAGCCTACCTTTCCAGAGAACTTAGCAGGTACTTTCCTCTTGAACTACACCTTTTAGCATCTCCTCTTCTATTCCCTCTCCGCTTTCCATCCCTAATTTCTTGCTTCCTATTAAGTGTGATTTATCTATTCTTCAAATCCAAATGATCCATCTGGGGACACTTGCTTTGGTTTTAGCCCAACTCACAACAAATAGGGTTCCGAGAAAACTTTAGATTTCCCAGGTGGTTTCCTGTGAATTCAATAGCACAAGATATAAATGGGTGTAAACTCCCTAATTTACATTTCCCAGTAAGTACTTACTGTCAGACATTGTGAAAGATACGACATAAGGCTGATGAACTCTAGCCCTCAAAGAGATTAAAATGTACATGAGGTATCAATTCAAGTTACGTATATATGAAATGTGTAATACCACCAAATAATACAGACCATCCATCATGCCCTGTTCAGGTACCCACAGTCGATGAGGACAGACATTTTTGTGTTTCTCTTTGTTCACTGATGCATCCCCAGCACCTGAACCAGTCCCTGGCATACAGTAAGTGCTCAATAGATCTGTGGAATGAAGTATTGTCTGTTTTCTAAGCACAGAATTAAGTAAGTCTGTTCTGTTACCAGCATGTTTCTGTAATGAGAGCCTATGTAACACAGACTCACTAATTCATGATTGATATGTAGGGAAAGGATATTAGTAAAATGGGGTGGTTGTGTTGGTTCACATACAGTTGTTCTCAGAACCTCATATTTTGCACCACCAAGTAACAGCACCTGCAAGCAACACACAGCAGGATGTGAGTTGTGAACACACAATGCTATGCCTGATGCCACGTCACCCTATGTTCTTTCTCTTAGATTGGTTTGGCCATGGACTCTAATGTGGAAAGGCTAATTGGGAGGGGGGAATTCACCTTTTATTTGCACATTTTGTGCTTATCTTCCTAATGGTGCAGCCTCAAACAACTCTTTCCAATCCCATCATCTGTTACCTCCATCTTTTTATAAAGGTAAAGTCCTATACTTATATTTGCTGTAAATATATTAGGAATTTAACATGGCTCATAAACTCTGCTGGTATGTTTTTTGGAATGGCTGTTTTTGTTAGTGCTCTGGTTGCAATGTTACGTAGATTTTGAGTGGTTTGTTTCTAACCCTATTTTCCCCATAAGCTTTGTTATTTCTAGTGTATGATTTTGAAAATGGGAAGATCAAGCATCCTTTCATAGAAGAAATGTACTACAAGCTTCATTTTCAATAAAGATAAGTGGGATTTGGCTGTGGGAGAACATGAAAGAGAGCATTCCAGTTCTGGCAAGGGCATCAGCAACTCCCACATGGATAGTATGGACCCTTCTTGGAGGAGGAGAGGATACTCAGCAAGAGAGCCAGGCTCTAAGGAGTGGGTTTTGCATAGAAAAATTTTTAAGTAATTCAGAATTTCCTGTGTCAAAGTGCCCCAGAGAGCTGCTAGAACAGGAAGTGGCCTGCCTGCGCGGTGTTCTATAACCATTAACCTGTAGGCTTGTGCAGATGGGTGCCACAGCAGGAAACCAAGGAGGAGGCAGGCCACTGAGGCCATGAAGTCTCTACCAACAGCGGTTCTCAACCTGTGGGTCACCACCCCCTTTGGGGGTCGAACGACCCTTTCACAGGGGTCGCCTAAGACCATCGGAAAACAAAATGATATTTACATTACGATTCATAACAGTAACAAAAATAATTTTATGGTTGGGGGTCACCACAACATGAGGAACTGTATTAAGGGGTCGCGGCATTAGGAAGGTTGAGAACCGCTGCTCTACCACGAACCTGGAAGGTGGCAGCTGTCTTTGAAAAGGACTGGCAACTGGAAAGACCTTACAAGTGAAGACTTAATGGGAGCTGTTATTGGCAATGGAGAAGAGAGACCAAACTGACTTCTAGGGTCTGAGTTCAGGCGACCAGATACAGGTGTCCCAGACAATAGGCTGAGAAGTTGGGGACAGGAGCAAGTGCGACAAGAAAAACAGACAGGAGGGTTTACTTGGCTAGATGCTGGACCGCTGTTTAAATCATAAGGGATATTGTCTCCTTAATTCGTAGCCATTTAACTCTGTGCTGTTTGCTGCCACCCTTGGGGGCGGTGGTGAGGAGTCAGGACAAGAATGCTTCAGACTGTCCGCTAAAGCGCCTTCGAAATTCATCCGGCCAGTCTTTTGAGTGCAGGGGAGGGTGTTTCAGGACCCCCAATCTATTTACGAATATTCTTTGTGACTGTTTGCACTGAGTTTCCTCACCTAGAGACTCTCAGGGCAAGGAAACTTATGCCCGGAGCCTCCTCTCTAGGAGAGGAAGGCGAGGATGGGGGGTCCAGGCCCCCCAACCCACCCTTCCGTGTTGGATTTCCCGGGACCATCAGATGGGCGTTCTTCCCCCGGGGTCCCGGCCTGGGGAACCGCGCAGCTCGCTTCAGGGCCCGCTGTCCGCGAAGGGAGTCCGGCCTCTCACCCCTGCTCCGACTTCGCCGCTCCGGGCCTCCCCGGCTGCGCCGCGCGTGCTCTCGGCGCTCCTGAGACGGTTTCTCGAAACTGTCCCCGAGGTTCCCCGGCGAGGCTCTGGGGACCCTCGCAGGATTCCGGGAGGCGCCGCCGGGCGGGCGCGATGACCGGCTCCCAGGCCCCCGGGCCCCCCCGCCTTTCCCCCCGGGGATCCCCGCTTCGCTCACACCCTCCGGGCTCCGCAGCGCACTCCCCTCCGGGGGCCGAGCCTCGTCCGCCCGCCGCCCCCTCCCCGCGTCCCGAACCCTCCCCCCGGACGCTCGGCCAGAGAGCCGGACGGAGGCGGCGGTGGTGACTGGGCAGCGGCGCGGGGCCCGGTCCTGGGCGGGGAGGCTTGGCGGCCTCTTTCTTTCTCTGCCCCCGCCCCTCTTTCTCCTCCCTCCGTGCTAGCCCGGCGGCGGCCCAGGTCGGCGCGCCCGCCTCGCCTGCGCCTCCTCCCCCACCCGTGGACCCTCTCCCCTCCCCTCCCTCGCCCCCTCCTCTCGCCGCCTCCTCCCCTCTCTCCTCCCTCCGCCTTCCCGGAGCGGCCCGCGGGACCCGAGAGCGAGAGAGAGAGAGGTGGCTGCGAGAAGGCGTAACGGAAAGCCCCGGCTTGGGGAAGGCTGCGGGCTCGGAGACGCCGAGCCGGGGCCGGGTGAGTTGGAGCCGCGGGACCCCGTGCGCGCCGCGCGCGGGAGGGAGAGGCTGCAGCCGGGGCCAGGTGGGGCCGGCGGGGGACCCCCGCGCGGGGGGCCAGCGGAGACCTGGCTGCGTGCGCGGGAACTCCGCTCCGGCGCCCACGGAGCCCGCCGGGAGGGAAGACGACCGGGCCGGGGAGCTGCAGCGGGACGGGTGCTGGACGCTGGGAATGGGAGGGAACGGCTGCCTCTGTTCTCACTACCGCGGCCGCCGGCAGCAGCCGTGGAGAAAAGTTGTGTCTGGAGCAGCGCTTTGCCGGGAAGCCGGCGCGAGTGGCGCTCTCCCGCCGCGGCTGGCGAGCTCCGACCGCCAGTGACCGCAAGCGTCGCGGCTCTCGGGTGCCGGGCGCACCTCTGCGCGCCTGGTACGCGCGGGAGGGGCCGCCCGTGGTCACCCCCGCGGGACCCGGTCTGTGGCGTGTGGGTCACGCCGGCCACAGACGTCAGCTGCTTCTCAGCGTTGGGCTGCATTTTTGTGGGCAGCGCAGTGATTTGGGGTGCGGGCTGGAGGAGGTGGGCGTGGAGTGGGGAAGACCACATCTGGGATGAGCCCGTGGGATGGGGTGAAGGACTGGTGGAGACTGTTGCTGGATGTTTTTAGGCACAAAGTTTTGTTTTGGTGTTTGGTTTTTGGTGGTTTTTTTTTCTTCTTCCTTCTCTTCCTTTCCATTCAGAGGTCTAGTGTTCTTTGGACTCAGAAAAGCGAAAGGGTTTTCTTCAATGCGGTTCAACTTTTTCTCTTACTTTAAGAGAGTCATGAGTTTCATGAGCGTCAGTGAGCTGTTTCAATGGAAGTAAACGGGAGTAGAGACGAAGTCTTATCCCCCACCCCCATCCTCGCTCCCACCCGGGGCATTTCCTGTATTTCCCGTTTTCTCTACTCTGATTGTGTGCATGCATGTAGGTTGCTATCAGTGACCCACATGTAAGAGTAGAACTGTTTGAAATCGCAAAGCGGCCCCTATAGACTAGTGTGAGTCGGAGCCAAAGGGCGGAGAGGTGTGGAGGGGAGGGGGAGGGCGAGCTGTAGCTGTTAGAACCTCGTCCTGGGAGTTAAATCTGGGTAACCGAGTTTGAAGGGACATTTATTGTCCGCACGTTGCGTTTGCATCGCCCACGCCCGAGAGAGCTCCACCCCTGCCAGGTTTAAGCGATGATCGGATGTTAATTTCTTTGGCATTGCCTTTTCCAGGATTTTCCTGATTCTTTCCTACTGGTCCATTTAAAACGACTTCTCCTTTTCAAGTTTAAGAGATAGGGAACGAATGCCGGTGGGGAGAGGGAATGTTATAAAGATAGGGGAAAGAAATGGGGAGAGGAACTGTTTTAAAGATGGGGAAAAGAAAAGAGAATCCAAGATTCTCATTTCTTTTTGCTGTGATAGACTTGTTATTAATCTGTCAGAAATCTGGTTCAGATGAAATAATATTTGAGGGGTTGGAAGTCATACCAGATAAAGCCCCTTGTTATAATAATATTTTTCCTATGTGGTCACACGGAGAGCAGGTAGTGAGGCTGGTGGTGGTTTGCAAAGGGTGCAGCAAACATTTTGTGCCGGGAAGAAGACAGTGTGTGTTGCTGGAGATGATGGGAGTGGGGAGGAGGGAATCATTTGTCTTCAGAGTGGTCCAATTAGGGAGAATAATTACACTGCAAATGAACATTCTTGAATATAATTTCAGTCATGATACATGGACCAGTCATTTGTCTATAAGAAGGAAAAAGGATCTTTGTAGATGAGAGCAAAGTGATGCCTTCTGGAAAAAATAATCTATGCTATTTATTCATCCATGCGGATGGGCTCAGAATCAATGGCACCTGCCTACAGAGATGTGTGGACTGATGAATTAAAGAGATTTTTACTGCTTATAATGTTTGGGCAGGGCAGGAAGGAAAAGTCCAGAGTCAGAGAAGATAGAAAAACTATATGGAAAAGTATATATTTCTTTTTATTGAACAGTATATACAGCATTTTAACTTCTTTATTACAAAGAACTGACAAAGTAGGAGACCAAAAATAGAAGACCCAAGTTGGGGCTGTTGAGTTCCCGGAGGTGTTGCTATCTCAACCTTGAAGGAGTTATTTAATTTCCCTCAGCTTTGGTTTCTGTGCCTGTAAAACGGTGGTGATAAGAGTTCAGGTCAAAGAATCACCTTGAAGATTAACTGTGATTACTTTTGTTTAGGTCTTAGGGTGGTGTCTCTGGCTAAGTGCTCAGGAAATGTTAATGATGGTTGTCAACTATTTCAAATGCCCAGGAAAAAACAGTGCTATTCTAAGAAGTAGAATGCAACAATACCTGATTTTAGAGTGAGCAACTGCTACTTAGGCAGACCCTGAGTAGGGGCTGTACCCATGCCCCCAGCAGTCCACACCCAGAAACATTTGGTCTTTCTAGAACTTGCAGGCTGCCTTTTGGCCCAGCCTTTTGGCCCAGCCTTTTCGGGGACTCTCGTTCCAGGGAATGTGTAATGTAGGCCCCGTGTGGACCTGAAGGCTGGAGCACAGGTGTGGCTTGCAAGCCCAGGCCTCACTGCCCCCTTGCAATGGCAGGTTCTCAGGTTCCAGGTCCCACTAAAGTAAATATCCAAATTGTATTTGAGGAAAAAAAAGGAAGACTCTAGTGGTGGACATGGTGAGTGCCTCTCTTGGGAATCCTAAAAGCAACATTATACTCAATAGGTACTGCTCTTAGATATAAATAGTAAGTAAATATCTAATCTCTAGAATTTACTCCAAAAAAGCAACTTTAAAGTATCTCTTGAGGTTAATGATACATTGTCCGTGTTTTACTAAGGTTGTATCTAAGAGCAGAGTGAACAAAAGGCATTCTTAGCAAAATTGTATTCTTTGAGCTGCATAACTATGTTGTATATTGCCTTTCTAATTTGGGAGGAATGCCTATTTGTTTCCTCAATCATCCATTCTTTTATCATGTCATTTAGCAAATACTTATGGTGACTCTCTCATGGGTCAGGCTTTCTTCTGGTCTCTTATGCACAGCAAAAACCGAGAGCAGCCCTTTCCTCTCACAGAGCACACATTCTAGTTGGAAAAGCAAACCCTCTATGGGAAGGACCTCCACAAACCCTGGAAGCTGCCTTTTTGATTCAGAAGAGCCTGTGCTGAAAAAGCGTCTCTTCCACAAGCCAGCCTAATTAGAGGGATGTGACCCGGCTGAGTGTGGTGGCAGGGACCAGCCAGTCCTATGGTTACTCCACAGGGATAAGGGAGAAAGGGTGTGTGTGTGTGTGGGGGGGGGATATTTCTTTCTGTGCTTTATAAAAATATGTGTCCAGTTTGAGCTGTGGCTGAGTAGAACGTACCATGAAAACAAACAGCAGTTTTCCTCAGAGGTGAGACTTCTCAGGCTTAGAAAGGCAAAGAAGGAATCAAAGGTCTGACCTGATCATCAACTTATAAAACCCAGATTGTGTTCGGGGAAGAGTCTGGCCTAGCACTTGAAACACTTGACTTTCTCTTGCTGTAGAAGGTGTGACTAAAAGAGTGAAGAAAAGAATGGATACTTGGTTCCTCATCCACCTTCATGGTTTTGTTTTTTTTCTTTTTCATTACTTATAAAAGTACAGTCATACGTGATGCAATAGTAATGCATATGTTTGGCATCTAGAAGGCTTGAAAAGGGCACTGACAGTAGTTACTTGGACTGGAGGCAGAGTTGTGCAGGGAAGTACCTGAGGGCGTAGGTCTTGGGTGCTGAGCAGAGGTCTGAACTTCATCTTGAAAGCTGTGTGGAAGGTGGAGAATTTACAGCAGGTGAATGACATAATCATATTGTGCTTTAGAAAGAACTGATGGCCACTAGATGGGCTAGGTGACAAGGAGGCCAGAGGTGGGGTAGAAGGTGAGTTGGGAAGCTAGTGTAGGAATCCTGAGGGTTCTTGGTGCTTGGTGAGGGAATGGGAGAGAGTCCTGGACAGACTGACCACACTTCCTTGGTCGTCTCCCGGGGGTGGGCACTTAGCTTGAGGGAGTCCAGGGTGACTGGTGTGGGTCGTGGCGCCATTCACTGAAGTAAACAGCTGTGGGGAGCCTCAGTTTGGGGAGATGGCGAGGAGTAATAAGTTTCAGCTGAATCCAAAACGGAACTGTGAGCCTTCCAGAGAGGAAGATGTCCAGCAGAGAGTTGGATACACAGGCAGAAAGAGAGGTCTGAAGCTAGAGGTAAAAGATAGAATTGTTTTCATAGTAGTGGCAAATGTTTGCCTGGTCTGTTGAGGTTTCCTAAATAGTGCTCAGGGTGAGAATAATCTGTGTCCTTGTAATTCAGTTTTTCTCTTTCACCTTTTGACAGGCCTAACTGGGGATAATCAAGCCCCTGACCTTGGCCTTAAATGAGCAGACACTTACTGGTGTTATTTTGTGGACTTGGTGAGATCAGTTTATTTTGTTTTGAACCGAGATAGTTAAAAGGAATAATTCTAGACATATTTAATACCTAAGATGTATAACTGATAAAATTGATACCCCCTCTCCTCCCCCCCCCCCACACATTGGCTAAGAACAGAATGCGTTCTTCCAAAATTCATGTGTTGAAGGCTTAATCCCCCATATGATGGTATTTGGAAGTGGGGCCTTGGGAGGCGATTAGGTTTAAATGAGGTGACGAGAGTGAAGCCCCCATGATGGGATTCATGTCCTTATAAGAAGAGGAAGAGAGCCCACAGCACTCTCTCTGTCTGCCAGAGTGAGAAGGTGGCCATCTGCAAGCCAGGAAGAGAGCCCTCACCAGGAGGAACTGAATCTGACAGCACCCTGATCTTGGACTTCCATCCTCCAGAAGAAAAGAAAATAAATGTCTGTTTTTTAAGTCACCCAATCTGTGATGTTTTCCTATAGCAGCCCAAGCTGACTAATATACAGGTGTATGTTTTCTTTAAGAAAATGTAAGGCGACCTTCACTTGCTGAGAATGTAAACTAGTTTTGTGTGCATC